AAAAAAGGTGCTCTTTCCGCGTTGTGTCCATTGAGTGGTTGATCGCAAAGATCAACTTTTCGGCAATCTCGTCCCAATCTTGTTGCAGTGGGTCTTCCACGTACACGCGCACTGATTGCATGACAGTCTTGCCCGAGCGCTCCTGCTGACCATTGGCCTGGGGCCGGTAACTCAACGTTGCCCTAGACCTCGATTCCATCATTTCGGTGAACGATTGGAACACCTTACTCATGAACCGTGGGTCTCTGTCATGTCTGATGAGAGCGGGTGCTCCGAATTTCTGGTACACACACTCCTCAAAAGCATGAGCCACTCTCAGAGCAGTCGTATCTGCCATGGCTTTGTCCATCACGTGCCCCGTGAATGCGCATTGGAACAGTGTTGCCCCGCCGAGACTTCGGTAAGGGTATTACAAAATCCATCGAAACAACTTGAAACGGTTGTTCCGCTAGTATGTTCCCTGGGGAGTATCCGCGGGTCGTTGGTCGACTTTTGCTTGAGCTACAGTCGGGACAGGACCGCACATGCCTCGGTACGTCCGCGTATAGACCGGTCCAGTAATAATCCAGCTTCACTCTGTAGAAGGTCCGAGCGATCCCTTGGTGGCCTCCTTCTAACGAGTCGTGGCAGTTCTGCAGTATCTCTTGAATCATCGTTGAGGGTACTACTAGACGCAGCATCGCGTCTTCTTGCTGTTGGTCACTCCTCAGAGGCCTCGTTCCCACATAGTAGAGGACATTGTCCTCACTTAGGATGAAGTGATCGGACATTTTCCACGCGTCTCTCGCTGCACGGTACGTTAGGGTTGATGCTTCCCCACGGAGAACTGTCTTCAAATTCGCCCACCGTAACCCCTCGTCTCGAGCAGTCGCGATCCTTCTTCGACGTTCTCTTTGGACCGTTAGGGGGGGGGCACATCTTCCGCGTCAGGCAACACGGGGGTATCACTGTTGGGTGCCATTACTCTTGAGAACTCTGCTTCCAGACGGGCTGAGTCCTCTGTTGGCACACAGTTGACTTCCTCTCGTTGTGTTACATCTTCTCCACCTGTCACCGAGGTTTCGTCGGCAAATATGACGCGTTTGGGCTTCGACTTAGCTTGGAGCCTGGTCGTTACCGTTAGATCCCCTATGTCTCTTCGCACAAAATCGAAGATTTTTTACGACGCGGCTCCCGGACGGTTCCGGATCGACACGTCGGTTCCATGTGTCGCAAATGTCGCGTCTGAACTTGCGCTTGTGCATTGCTAACCGAGGGTTCGTCCGCCGAGGACTCGGTGATGGGTGCATAG